TTTCCTTTTTTTTTTTTTTTTGCTTTCAGTATTTTTCTATGAAGGCCTCCATATAGTGTGTGTGTCTATATACACACAAACATAGTAAACTGTTTCTCCTGTGAATCTGTATTTGTCAAGTTATTCATGGATCCCAGCTGCAAAATCATTGCTGTGGAACCCAAGAGAGTAGAGCAAATTTTTTCCCTCCCTACAATCTTCTCTCAAGAATTCCGAGCAGCAGCGAAATGCTGAGGCACCCATACTGATGTTTCCACTAGTCAAGCACACCCAACACAGAGCGAACCCGAGCAAAGCGCCAATTCCTAGGTTAACAGCATAGTTACGACTTCTAGTTTCCAGCAGAAATTTTACAAATCTACCATAATGGAGCAAGCTAGGCAGGCCCTCTTCCTTTCTTGCATACATGCACTGAGCTGCTTTTGGAAATCAGTAGGAATGGAGAGCACAGCAGGCAGAATTCTAGGCTTGGCGTGACCAATGAATAAGTTAGGGATCTTGGGTGTGCCACTCTACATGCCCAACAGTACTATAGGTACACTTTCAGGTACTCTATTTTACATGAGTGCTAACAAGAGTGAGGATATAGTTAAAAAGATATAAATACATCACTATCATGAGAAAAGAAAAAAAAAACCACACACATCAGGAAAATTAATAAATGAATAAACTACACTGTGCATACTGCCCCTCGTTATAGCTAGCACTAGGTTCCCAGATAACACAGCAGGTACCATAATCCAAAGGCATATGAAATACAGGCCTCTTCTAACCATCCCCAATCAAAATGACAGAAGCGAAAGAAATACCAATCTACTCTTGAAAACAACAGATATAAATGATTCTCAACTACTACAGGAAAAAAGCTCAGTACTCCGGGGGGTGGAGGTCACTACTTTTTGTGCCAGAGAACTGTTATGCTCCTCATTTAAAAGGCCTGTATTTGGGGCTCCCGATTCTTATTCTTGGCTCAGGTTGTGGTCTCAGGGTCGTGAGATCAAACCCCGCATCAGGTTCTGTGCTCAGCATGCAATCTGCTGGAGTTTCTTTCTCCCTCTCCCTCTGCCCCACCCCACCCCACAGGCTTGCACTCTCACTTTCTCAAATAGATGAATCTTTAAAAAAATAATAAAAGGCCTGTATTCAAACAAGATGGGAAGTTACTTGGGCTTTTTGCAGAGATGAAGTGGGGTAGTTAAGGATCTGTTCAGTAGGAGGGAGCCTGGCTGGCTTAGTCAGTTGGAACTTCCAACTCTTGATTTCACCTCAGGTCATGATCTCAGGGTCCTGGGATTGAGGCCTCGGAGCTCAGCTTGGAGCTGGTTTAGTATTCTCTCTCTCCTTGTTCCTCCGCTCCTACCCCCAATTTGCGCTCTCTAAAATAAATAATAAATAAAATCTTAAAAAATACATAAAACGGGGTGCCTGGGTGGCTTAGTGGGTTAAAGCCTCTGCCTTTGGCTCGGGGCATGATCCTGGGGTCCTGGGATGGAGCCCCACATCAGGCTCTCTGCTCAGCAGGGAGCCTGTTCCCCCGCCCCACCCCCGCCTGCCTCTCTGCCTACTTGTGATCTCTGTCAAATAAATAAGTAAAAGCTTTAAAAAACTAAATAAAAAATACATAAAATGATCGGGGCGCCTGGGTGGCTTAGTGGGTTAAGCCTCTGCCTTCGGCTCAGGTCATGATCTCAGGGTCCTGGAATTGAGTTCTGCATCGGGCTCTCTGCTCAGCGGGGTGCCTGCTTCCTCCTCTCTCTGCCTGCCTCTCTGTGTACTTGTGATCTCCCTCTCTGTCAAATAAATAAATAAAATCTTTTAAAAAAATACATAAAATGATCTGTTTGTAGGATTGTTGAAATAAGCACAATACAAGTTGGGACAAATAGTTCCGGTTTTTAATAATAATCAATGTCTGGAAGCTTTACGGTGAATTAAACTAATAAAAGCAAAACCTTTCCCCCAAAGCAAAGTGGTTAAAATTTTTACTGCTACATTAGTCAGTGAAGGCTTTATGGAGGAAGTGGGCCTTGAAGAACCGGCAAGCTTTGGAACAGAAAGAAAGGAGATTACAGGCCTCCAGACAAGGAGGATAGGAACAAAGGCACAGAAGGAGGAGTTCAACACTGATTCAGGCCCACTACACTCAGGCATGGGGTTAGGTTCCAAGGACACTAAGATCTGTGAAGTACAGTTTTTTGCCTTAAATCAGCCCAGAGTCTAGCCAGTGAGACAAATTGCCAAAGAAGACACGGTAAGTAATATCAGTGTCAAAATACCTGTAACGTTCTGTCGGAATAAAAATGAGGAGCAATTCTGCCTGCCTGATTCAGGGAAAATATTAAGAGACGATAAGATATGTGAACCAAATCCTTTTTCTTTTTTTTGAACTGAATCTTGAAGGATGAATAGGGCTCTGACCAGTGAGAAAAGGGAGGGCAGTGAGAAAAGGAGGGCACTGAGGGCAAAGCAAATAGCACAGACAAAGGCAGGAAAGTAAAAGAATGACTAGGGTATAGACGCATGTCCAGCCTGGTGAGTAGGCTGCATAGGCACCAGGGAATTAGGACAGACTTAAAAAGGTAAGATGAGGGGGTGCCTGGGTGGCTCAGTCAGTGAAGCATCTGCCTTCAGCTCAGGTCATGATCCGGGGGTCCTGGGATCGAGCCCCACATCAGGCTCCCTGCTCAGCGGGGAGTCTGCCTCTCCCTCTGCCCCTCCCCAGATCATGCTCTTTCTTTCTCACTCTCAAATAGGTAAAATCTTTTTTAAAAAATTGCATTTGCTATCATAAATTTTTTTTTAAAAGGGTAAGATGAGGCAGTATCAGGAAGGGCCTTATTCTGCAGGTGACAAGGAGCCATCAAAAGATTTTAAACCACAAAATGGCATCAGATTGGGATTTTGAAAAAAAGCTGGTGGCAGTATAGAAAATTTAATTGCGTAGAGACCGGAGACAGAAAAAGCAATTAGGAAGCTACAGCAAACATCTCAATGAATGTTGAAGGCCTAGATAATGTGAGTGACAATGGAGAATGAGCGAACACATTCCACAGGCATTTGTAAATGGAGGCAGAGTGGATAGAAATTTGTAACTCATTTGATATCTGGGTAAGGAAAAAAGTAATGGAGTATCTTCTGACGCAGTTAAAAAACTAACTTATGGATGGTGATGCCATTAAAGACTCAAAGAGGGAAGCAGGGTTCTGGGTAGGTAATAAAAATATTTTCATGAGTGAACATTAACATCTAGCCAGTTACTCAAGCCAGACAGCTGGGAATCGTCCTAAACTATTCACCCGCCAACCCAGCTAGTCGGTCACCAAGTGCCAGAGGTCCTATCTCTTCCACAGTCTCTCAAATTCAGCTCATCATTATGGTTTCTAGACTCACTGCTTCATAATCAAAGTACTGTTTCTCTCCTGGGTTAATACCCTCTTAAGTAGTCTCCCTTGTCTCTAGCCTTGAGCCCCCATCTAGCTGATCCTTTACAGTATTTACCAGAAAGCTCTCCCGGAAACAAAAATCTTAATATTTTAATTAAACTCCTGATTGAAGCCCCTGAAAGCCCCTTCCCACTCCCCTGCAGTTTACAGGACGAAGTCCAAATGTCTTGGTTTAACACAAAGGACCACTGAAAATCCTAATCCTGTCTCCCTCTCCTCCAACTCTCACACACGCCCGCTTGGCTCCAGCCACCGGGAACTTCCCGCAGCACCCTTAACGTGCTGGGCCGTCTCTGCCTCCAGGCCTCTGCACTAGCTGATCGCTCCCACGCGCTGCTGCCTTCCTTCTCTCACACAGGGAACTCCTGGCTCGCACACAACGCCTCCAGGAAGACTTTCCTCACGCTCTGATTTGCTGGGATAACTAAAACTCCTGTACTTGTGTAGTACCTTCTGTAGAATATTCCCATCCAATACTAGAATTGTGGATACACTAACTTCACCAGTCAGCACAGTCCCCAGGCAAAGACGATGTCTCATTTGACTCTGCACAATTTAGCAGTATCTGGCACATTAACAGGCGCTCAAAAAACATTTGTTGAGGGAGTTCAGTTTTAGACCTATCAGCCAGTGTGCATGGTGAATACACCGATGGAGAGATCCTACACACACTGCTACGTGCAAAGGGTAGCATGCCCAGTAAGATCTTCTGCTTGTTTAGAAACCATCAAGCTATTCTCAAAGGCAACAAGAATTATGAAGGTAAAAGCCAATTCAGGTCTGGAGGCAACAAACGAGTATGTCAGACAAGGATGGCCAAGGACACAACTCTGAAAAACTGCACCATTTAAGTGAGAGAAAGAGGGAGAGACAGCAAGGGTGTAGGAAAAGAACAAGGAAAAAGAGAACCTTAGAAAGCTGAGAGGAATATGTTTAGAGTAGGGAAACATTAGTGTCAAATACTATAAAGACAATGAAATTTCAGGAGAATACTGTTGAGCAGGTGGACATTTTAGGTTCTTCGTTTTACATCACCCTTGTCTAGGTCAATACACAAGAAGCATAAGGGACAGCTTAGAATAATATTCTCCAGTTTGCTTTTTAGGTGAAAAATTGGTTATATTTAACCTTCCAGCTATCAGACCAAATGAAAACCATCAAAATATTTTAAACTACCTGAAACTGTGAGGAAGCATTTATTAAACCAAGAAGATGGAAAAATTAAAATATTTCTGTACTTTTTCTCTTTCCTCCATCACTCCTTATTCAGTATCCAATATTTTTTAAAATTGTAACATGGATTTGAGGGGAAGGGATTTTGTTTATTTAAGTTTGTATTAGTAGTTTGGTAGCTGGAGTAGTATCATGCACTGTACGACAGCTTTTAAATATCACAATTTTTCATTACCACTTCTAACAGAAGAAACTCTTGTCTCTAATGTATCTTAATTAACTGTTTTCATGTAACTGTAATTTCTGACAGACAACAAGGTATTTCATGGTAAACAAATCAAATTATAGTACTTAACAAGAGTAACCATAAAATACAGAACATACCCCTGTATCTGTATCAGACTTTGATGAATTCAGACTTTCCTGAGAAGGTGACGGGGATACACGTCCTAAAAACAAAATAATAATTATAAACAGGCATGTAAATACACACACTCACACATCAATCAAAATTAATGACACATGAACACCTAATTAATAGTCATAGAATGTAACATTCTGAAAAAACACCTTTTCTAAATAAGTGAAGCATTAATTCTCTGGGCACCAAAATAATAGCTTTTATAATTTTTATCATAAAATCTAGAATAACCATATCATCAATTTAATAAAATATTATTAAATCTTCATTATTCATAGTGAATACAAATAAGATGAACAATAAAGGCATACAAAGGGTCTGGGGTGGTAGAAGTCGTAAGGGCCACTGGAACAGTCTTTCTGCTCCAGGCAGGGCAATAAAAAAAAATGTATTGTAAACGTAGTTTAACTTTTTGCCAACCCAATTTCATCTTCAATTATGTATTATAATGCAAGCAATACTCATAGGGCCACTGAAGTATACACGGATCATTTGCCAGTTTAGTGGATCTCCCCAGATTTCTATGTTCCTCAATCCGGTGCTTTAAATATGCCCTATCCTCCAGCCCATGGCCACCTATTCTCCTTTCTCCCAACCCTTATCTTCTTGGTTTCAGTCTTAGTGGGCTAGGGCGAGGATGGGAGTGGAAGGGAGGGGTTTGTGGAGAAAATTTATTGTAGTTAAATAACTATAAGAAAAGAATCCCATAAACATAAAGCTCTTACCTACATCAATTCTACATGCTTTCCTGGTAAGTTACCAATATACAGAAATATTTTATATAGTCGTAATCATGGTGTACACACATCACATTCTGAAGTTTCTCTCTGCCATTTAACCTTTTTTCATATACCTCTGATGTACTGACAAATCATATTTCCTTTTCATGGCTGGGTCTCCTTTTTTCTTTCCTTACTGGATGGATATTATTATTCTAATTCCTTTTCTAAATTAATCAGGTTATTTCATTTTTAAACCCAGGAGAGAATTAAAGGTTGTCAGGGGAAACCAAGCAACTTTATTCTCAATAGTTGATGAATTAAACTCTGCACAATACTTCAAATGGGATAAAGTCAAAAGCTCTATGGTAGCATTTTCCATGGGATTCAGATGCTTTTTCGGTGTTGACTTCTGTTCTACTTTTAGGTTTGTGGCCACTATTAAAAATAGTGGTTGCTGCAAATGGTTGCCAGAGAAGAGGGCATTATTATACCTAAAATGTAAAAATACCAGATGTCTCTAGAGTTTTAAGGCCCACAAGTAAATAAAAAATACCTTCGGTATTATATTTCATTCGCATATTGTTGAAATAGTCAAAAGCATTTTTTAAAGCCCATATTCTCACTACATTGTCTTGTCCAGCTGAGGCAAGTAATCGGCCACAGTGAGAAAATTTCATGGTCCAAACAGCTCCCTATAAAAACAAAAAAAGGTTCAGAGTTATTTCTTTAGAAGTTGAAACATTTAAGATTTTATTTTTAAGTAATCTCTACATCCAATGTGGGGCTTGAACTTACAAGTCCGAGATCAAGAGTCACATACTCTACCGACTGAGCAAGCAGGCACCCCTAAGAGTTGAAACATTATTTTAAAGCCAAAGTAAAGAATTATTCCAAATGATACTAAGATAATCCTCATATTACTAATACCACTTAAGGCCAACAGTTCAATGATGACACAACAGCACAAAGAGCAATTTTTAAGAGAAAAGCAGGATAAGATAGCAGCAGTTTACTGTAATCTAAACTAACAAGTTCAAAGCCCCAAGCCTTATCTACAAAATTAATGGAAATGGAGTTCCGGAGTTGCAAGGAGGCCATAAATCATTGTAAAAACAGAAATCCTAGTTGAGGATTTCAGTCTCCTAGCTGAACAGAAGAGGGAGTGACACTGGAGGAGGCAGAGCCCTCAGGATGCAACTAATACCCTTGACCAAGGCTGAGGGAAATACAGGCCCATGTTAGCAGTGACCCTCGTAGCACTGGACATTTGCAAGTGTTGGAATGGTGTGATCTCGACCTGTTTTCCCCCCAGAAACAAGATTTTACAGTGTGCAGTTAGAATTCCCAGATACTGCTAGCAATAGGGAAGTGTGTGGGTATGTGCTGGGAGGTGGGGGTGGCGTGATTTAAGAACATGAACCCTTAACGTGGAAAAGCCAAATGCTATTACAACAAATGTTGTTATAACTACAACACATATGTATGCAAATCAAAAAGATTATCTAACTTAGGGGTGCCTGCTTGGTTGGGAGACCATGCAACTCTTGGTCTCTAGGTCATGAGTTTGAGCCCTATGTTGGGTGTAGAGATTACTTAAAAATAAATATAAACTTGAAAAAAAAAAGATTATCCAAGTTAGAGGCAATAGTTCATATACTGAAATAACATTCATTTCCATAAAATGCAAGCATATTAAGAAATTTGTTACTGGGAACCTACTACAATGAGACTTTACTAAAACTGGAAATAATGAAAGTGAATCAAAACAGTACAAGGAAGTTCATCAGTTCCTTAAGGAAGTTACTATAATCAAATCAAATATTTTATGTGGAGATCATAAGCACCGAAGTTTAAATTCCAATCTGGCTGCCATCTGATGTGTTTACGGTCACTTCCTTCCAGTTAAGTCACATCTTGGATTTAAAATCTAAATAGAAAAATAGATTCCCTGATTAAAGACTGACAGCATCATTGTCCCGTCCAGCAGTTTATTACCAGCTTCCCTGTGCTCCTGGCATTTGTAAGGGGCATAACTACAATATCACTTGTGTACTTTATCCCCACTTTGGTACATTTATCTCTGGTAGAAAACTTATACCTCTCTTTCCTGGTTTTAGCTGCCATTTTACAAAATACACGAACCTACTGCAGTATTTGTGTTCATTATTTAAAATACACCCAGGGAGGGGCGCCTGGGTGCCTCAGTCAGTTAAGCATCCAACTCAATTTCAACTCAGGTCGCCATCTTCGGGTCGTGAGATCGAGCCCCGTATCAGTCCCTGGGCTCAGCATGGCATCTGTTCGTTCCTCTCACTCTGCTCCTCCCCCTGCTCGCTCACTCTCTCTCTCTCTCTCGATAAATAAAATCTTTTAAAAATATACCCTGGGAACATTTTAAATGGTTTCCAAAGACATAGACCACCCTGCAAATTTAACTCCTTTAAAGTCTGGTACCTTTTTTTTTTTTTTTAAAGATTTTATTTATTTATTTGACAGACAGAGATCACAAGTAGGCGGAGAGGCAGGCAGAGAGAGAGTGGGGGAAGCAGGCTCTCTGCTAAGCACGACGCGGGGCTCGATCCCAGGACCCTGAGATCACGACCCGAGCCGAAAGCAGAGGCTTTAACCCACTGAGCCACCCAGGCGCCCCTAAAGTCTGGTACCTTTACATAGCTTTCTTCATGATATGGGCCTAGAGTTTACTTATTCAAAAAATTTTCACTTCTTAAGGGGCGCCTGGGTGGCTCAGTTGGTTATGTGTCTGACTTCGGCTCTGATCATGATCTCAGGGTCCTGGGATCAAGCCCAGCATTGGGCTCCATGCTCAGCACAGTCTCCTTGTCCCTCTCTCTCTGCCCCCATCCCCCTGCTCATGCTCTCTCTCTCTCAAATAAGTAAAATCTTTAAAAACAAATGCCCCCATCCCCCTGCTCATGCTCTCTCTCTCTCAAATAAGTAAAATCTTTAAAAACAAAAACTTTCACTTTTTGATAGTTGCAAGCAACGTATCTTTTAAATTTTTTTTTTTAAGATTTTATTTATTTGACAGAGAGACACAGCCAGAGAGGGAGGGAGAGTTGGAGAGGGAGAACAGGCTTCCCGTGAAGCAGGGAGCCCCATGTGGGGCTCGATCCCAGGACCCTGGGATCATGATCTGAGCCGAAGGCAGAGGCTTAATGACTGAGCCAGCCAGGCACCCCGCAAGCAACCTATCTGTAAAGGGTTAGTATCCAAAATAACTTATCAAACTCAACACCCAACAAACAATTAACACAGTTAAGAAATGGGCAAAAGACAGGAATAGACATTTTTCCATAGAAGATATCCAGATGGCTAACAGACCCATAAAAAGAAGTTCAACATCGCTCATCATCAGGAAAATATAAATCAAAACCATGTTGACATACCATCTCACACCTGTCAGAATGGCCAAAATTAACACAAGAAACAACAGGTGTTGGCAAGGATATGGAGAAAGGGGAGCCCTCTTGCACTGTTGGTGGGAATGCAAACTGGTGGAGCCACTCCAGAGAACAATATGGAGGTTCCTCAAAAAACTAAAAATAAAACTACCCTACAATCCAGCAAGTATACTACTAAGCATTTATCCAAAGGATACAAAAATAGAGGTTCGAAGGGTTTTTACACCCCGATGTTTACAGCAGCATTATCAACAACAGCCAAACTATGGAGAGAGCCGAAATGTCCACTGACTGAAGAATGGCAAAAGAAGATGTGGTATATACATATATACAATGGGATACTACTCAGTCATCAGAAAAAATTTTATCTTGCCCTTTGCAATGACATGGATGGAGCTAGAATGTATTATCCTAAGTCAATCTGAGAAAGACAAATACCATATGATTTCACACTCATATGTGGAATTTAATTTTTTAAGATTTTATTTTTATTTATTTGAGAGGGAGAGAGAGAGAGAGAGAGAGATCAGGTGAGAGCACAAGAGAAGGGGGAGGGAGAAGCAGAGTCCCCACTGAGCAAGGAGTCTGATGCGGGGTCCAATCCCAGGACTCTAGGATCATGACCTGAGCCCAACACAGCCACTTAAACAACGGAGCCACCCAGATGCCCCCATATGTGGAATTTAAAAAACAAAACAGATGAACAGTAGGGAAGTTGTGGGGGAGGACACAAACCATAAGAGACTCTTCTTCTTTTTAAGGATTTATCCATTCATTTTAGAGACAGAGAGCGAGAGCAAGAGAGAGAGAGAGAGAGAGAGAGCGTGTGCGCGCACAAGTGGAGAGAGGGGCTGAGAGAGAAGGAAACAGAGGGAATCTCAAGCAGACTCCCCGCTGAACACAAAGTTCAGCAAGGGACTCAATCCCAAAACCCGAGATCATGACCTGAGCTGAAAACAAGAGTCATATGCTTAACTGACTTAGCCACCCAGGTGCCCCAAACCGTAAGAGACTCCTCACAATAGAGAACAAATTGAAGGTTGAAAGAGGGAGGTGGAGGGGGGATGGGCTAGATGAGTATTAAGGAGGGCACTTGCTTTGATGAGCACTGGGTATTGTATATAAGTAATGAATTACTGAATTCTACTCCTGAAACCAGTACTGCCCTGAATGTTAATGAACTAAAATTTAAATAAAAATTTAAAAAACCTGGGGCGCCTGGGTGGCTCAGTTGGTTGAGCCACTGCCTTCAGCTCAGGTCATGATCCTGGAGTCCCAGGATTGAGTCCAGCATCGGGCTCCCAGCTCCACGAGGAGTCTGTTTCTCCCTCTGACCTTCTCCCTCTCATCCTCTCTCTCTCTCTCAAATAAATAAATAATAAAATCTTAAAAAAAATTTAAAAAACCCCTCAGTTCTTAAACAATAATCCAGAGATAGACTCTGCATTACCTAGGCATTAAATCATTATTAATATTAATTTACTTTTCTTGAATCAGGTTAGCAAAATTATGTACATAAGAGATTGGCTTTATGGAAGCCAAAGTACTTCTCTCAATGAAAACAGAATCAATCCTGAAAAATAGAAAGATTGCTTACCATATGCTCACCACTAAGATCTTGCACCACTTTGATCTGATCAAAATCATAAGGTCCTTTGAAACCATGCGCTGCTTTGAATTTGACTGGTCTTGTATACGGCATTCCCTCATCATCACTTGATGAAGGATCATCTTGATCAGTATGAAACACTGAATAGAAAAGCAATACAGAAATCATCACTGGCTGATGTAGATAAAGATACTATCAAGATTTTCATTCTACTGTTAACCAAGAAAATTTATTAAATGGAAAAAGTGTATCTGTCTATTACTAAATAGCATATTGGTTAAGAGCACGGGATCTCATGCCAGATTGTCTGGGTCCAAATCCAGCTCTGTCATTTATTTTCTGTGTGACCATAGCCAAAGACTGGACCTTTTGGTGCCTTGGTTTTCTCATCTGTAAAATGGAGATAATAATAGTACTTTCCTCACAGGGTTTTTATGAAGGGTAAATGAATGAATATAGTTCCAAGTGCTTAGAACAGTGTCTAGTACAAAATAATTACTGAATTAGTGCTTATTAGTACAATTATAACAAATGACACAGGAAGTGAAGACTTGTACAAATTTAGAAAATTTTCCAAATTTTGAAAATACTTATAAAAACTAACCTTACAAAACTAATTTACAACTGAACAATGAACACTCATCTCTTCCAGGTTGCCATAGTTACAAAGTATGTACAAATTCATGTTCAAGATGAAAAAATTTATTTTGCTTCCTGCTCATAAAATTAAGTGATACCTAGAATAACATGATTTACTGAAATGCGAAGATGTCTGCTACCAAGGTTTCTTAATTTCAATAAGAAGAATGCCTCTTATAAATTATAGACTAAATTTGGATGATTACAAATCAATTAAATATTCACTTGCAATGTTCTATTTCACTTACCTTCGTCTCTAACACTTTTAACTTTATTCACAGCACGTTCACCATATTCCTCTGCAAGGTGCTTTGCTCTCTTTACTGATTTTCCTAAGAACTTCTTTAGTTGAGTCCTTACCAAAAATACAAAAAACCAAAATTATTTTTTTTAAAAGATTTTACCTATTTATTTGAGAGAGAGCAAGCTCATGAGCAGAGAGAGGGGCACTGGGAGAGGGACAAGCAGCCTCCCTGCTGGCAAGAAGCCTGACCCAGGGCTCCATCCCAGGATCCTGAAATCACGAACTCCTACCCAACTGAGCCACCCAGGTGATCCCTAAAACCAAAATTATTAACTAACTGTAAAAGCTCAATAATTCACAGATAATTTCATAACGGCCACAAGAAAAGTATATTATTTTGAAATAACTCCTTTTTAACATAAAAAATAGGTCTTTGAGTTCCTGTATCCTTTGTTCTATGGAATAAATACATTCAAGTCAATATGGCTACAAAGAAAATACAGATACTTCTGGATGTACAGCATCATATACTCTAAAGCACTGGTTTTCCTTCTTTTCTTTTCTTCCCTTCTTCCTTCCCTTTTCCCCCCTCTCTTTCTTCCTTTCTTTGGGAGAGAAAGAGCTCAAGCAAAGGTTAGGGGTCACAAGAAGAGGGGGAGAGAGAGAATCCTAAGCCGTCTCCTTGCCCAGCAAGGGGCTTGATCTCACAACCTTGAGATCATGACCTGAGCTGAAATCAAGAGTCTAACGTTTAACTGACTGAACCACCCAGGCACTCCTCAAGCACTGGCTTTCAGTGGTGAATAAAAAATTGGTGGGGATGGGGTGGGACGGGAGTGTTTAAAGCGCATGAACCTGAGACCCATCTGCAGATCATATGATTTAGAGTGTCTCAGGTCAGGCCATTAATCTGCAATGAGAATGTCTTTGAGAAGACTGCTTTAAAGAGTAATACTCCTCGGGGTGTCTGGGTGGCTCAGCTGGTTGAATGGCTGAATCTTGGTTTCAGCTTAGGTCATGATCTCCGGTCATGATACTGAGTCCCACTTTGGCCTCTGAGCTCAGCATGGAGTCTCCTTGAGATGCTTCTCCTCTCCCTTGGCCCCTCCCCGGCCCACTGTGAGCTCCAGCTCTTTTTCCCCCTAAAATAAGTAAATAAATCTTGAAAAAAAAAAAAAAAGGAGTAAACCTTAAAACACATTTCACCAATAAAAAAACTATAGGGATGCCTGGCTGGCTCAGTCAGAAGAGCATGTGACTCTTGATCTTGGGGTTCCGAGTTCAAGCCCCACCTTGGATATAGGGAATACTTAAAAATAAAATCTTAAAAAAAAGACAGACAGAAAGAAAGAAACTATGAAGAGGTATTTACTTACAGAATAAAATGTTTGGTACCCTATGATGGTCGTTTGTCTCTTCTCTTTCAGTTTGGGTATTTGCATGCAATACAGTTAGGTTGAGCTTTCCCGGGAAGTATTCCCAAACACAAGGTAATGCAAGGATGCGTCTGAAGCTTCTATAAATAGGACTTACTTATTGCTTTTCTAATAATCTCAGTCTCCAATTTCATATATTAAGATAATAAAAAACAAAGCACAGTATATACATGATATCTAAAACCGAGACAGAATTTATAGGAGGAAATTTTTTACCAATTCATGGAAGTTCATGATATTAAAGGATAGTTCCTGAATAAGCTGCTAAGCTATATATACAAAGATGTTCACTGCAGCATTATTTACAAGGTGTAAAAAGTAGGGAAAAAAAGCATAAAAAGTAGAGACAAACTGATTTTTCATTAAAAGAACAAGGCATAAGTAAACACCAGTATATTCTCAAAATGGAATGCAATAAAATAAAAAAATGAGGCAAACCTCAGTTCTTCCGAAGTACTGAACTCTCAGTCACCTCAGGGCCAATGCACATGTTATTTCTGCGTGGAACATTCCTCCCCTGGCTAATTTCTACTCATCTTTTAGGACTTAGACCAAACATTATTTCTCAGAAAAGCCCTCCTTGACTCTTCAGAGCAGGTTTTCCTGTTTTATATGCCAACAGTACCCCATGTATTTCTTTTATTGCAATTACTACAAATGTAGTTAGATTTATCTGTGCAATTATGTTTAAGTATCTGTTTCTCCTGTTTAACTGGAAGCTCTAGAAGGGCAGAGACTATGACTGTCTTAACTATTATATTTACAGCACTGAACTCCCATTATCTGAGAGCTGACAGAAAGGCTATAATATATTTACTATTGATACTGGTATGAAAAGATGTACATTATGTATCAGGTATTCTTAAAAAAGCAAGCTTGGGGCACACGGATGGCTCTGATGGTTAAGTGATTGCCTTTGGCTCAGGTCATGATCCTGGAATCCTGGGATCAAGCCTCCCATCAGGGAGGCTTCTCCTGCTCCCTCTGCTGCTACCCCTGCTTGCGTTCTCTCATTCTCTGTGAAATAAATAAAATCAATCTTTTAAAATAAATAAATAAAATAATAAAATTAAAAAAAAAAAAAAAAAAAAGCTGACGGGGCACCTGGCTGGCTCAGTCAGCAAAGCATGTGGCTCTTGATCTCAGGGTTGTGAGTTCAAGCACCACGTTGGTCATGGAGTTTACTTTAAAATAAAGCAGGGGGTGGGGGTCGCAAAAAAAAGCAAGCCAACAAACTACAGGCACAGTATTAATCCTACTTTTGTGAGGAAAAAAAAATTCTATGGAGAATACACGTAATTATTAACACTGGTTATTTCTGGGGGTGAGAGTATGAGACCCTCATTTTCCGTATTTCTGTATTAGTTTTTCTGTTCTTGTTGTTAAAGTAATCTCTGCACCTGGCATGGGGCTTATACTCACAAACCTGAGATCAAGAGTTGCAGCTCCACTGACTGAGCCAGCCAGGCCAGGTGTCCCTGTTTTAGTTTTGATAATAAGAAAACACAGATGATAAACCATTTTTAAAACTACTATAAGGGGGTGCCTGGGTAGCACAGCGGGTTAAGTGTCCAACTCTTGATTTCATCTCAGAATCATGAGATCCAACCCCACATCAGGCTCCATGCCCTCTCTCTCCCTCTGCCCTCCCCTAACAACCCCCACCCCCCCACTTGCATGTGTGATCTCAATCTCTCTCGCTCAAAAAAAAAAAAAAAATCACTATAAGGTCTTGGGGTGTCTGGTTGGCTTGGTGGAATATGTGACTCTTGATCCCAGGATTGTGGTTTAGAGCCCCATGTTGGATGTAGAGATTATTTAAAAATAAAATCTTAAAAAAAAATCATGGGGCTCCTGGGTGGCTTAGTCGGTCAGTTAAGCATCTGCCTTCAGCTCACATTGTGATCCCGGGGTCCTGGAATCGAGCCCCACATCAGGCTCTCTGCCCCTCTCGCTCGCTCGCTCTCTCATGCATTCTCTCAAATGAGTAAATAAAATCTTTTTTTTTTTTTAATCATTTTAAGTTCTCTGCTACCTATAACTCAGAAGTTGTATTTTCTGGATAATTATAGGTTTACTACTATTTAGGCAAGAAAGCATATTTTAATCATTTTGGATGAGAACATTTCTAAAATGTGTGTTTTTGTGACTTCTTCAATGGCACTCAATGTTCGATAAATTGCTTTCCTTATTAAAAACAGCCAGTTACCACCTTCACTTTTAATATATCCAGGGCCTTTCATATGGATTCTAAGTGGGCCATATTAGCTCCCCCTCAGCCTTCAAGGTGACAGAGCAGGATCCAGGGAAGCCAGAACCCTGGGCAGACTCCTCTGGCCATTAGCAGATTCATTAGCTTGTCCAGTGTTCAGAGGACCTATTACCGTGTTTTGTGTGTGTTATGTTGAGAAAAAGTTGAAAGCAGTAACATATGGAATTGCTATGCTATGTATGAGTCCTTTTACCATTTTCTGGATTCCATTCGTGTAATCACAATATTACCTGACATTCTTATGTGTCGACTTACATGTTGTCACAGTTTGCTACTTCTATTTTGCTTTGACCTCAGATACCAGATGACCAGATTTTTAAAAAATTATGTAAAAAGTAAGTATAATGGCCTTGACTAAACCTAAAGAGCTTTTCTTTTAGAAAAATAATAAGCCAGGGTGCCGGGGTGGCTCAGTGGGTTAACCAACTCATGCTCTCAACTTAGGTCTTGGTCTCAGGGTTGAGTTCAAACCTCATGCAGGACTTAAAATAAAAAGAAGAAGAAAGAAAAAGAATGAGCTTTAATGCATGGAGTAAGTGACAGTTCTCCTAGGTGTTTACCTATCTTTTTAATCATTCCTAATTCCGATTTCTGATAGTTGCCACTGCTGGACAGCCGAGCTCCAGATCTCTGAGGTTTCGTCTATACACCTGTATTGTGGGTAGATCTTTTCTAAGAATTCTCAGTGGTTTCATTGATACACTTCCCACACTAGGCAAAGATCAGAGTATAGTGGAGAATTTGCTTTGGGGAATTACTGTCAAATAAATGACCAGTGTATAGTCAAGCAAAATCTATATGCCCACCATTTCTGCTGGATGTTTGTAAGGAAATGAGAAGGATGTCATGATTACAATCCTTTTGCAACATATGATTTAGTTATTTAGCACCCATTTATCTTGTTTTTAAAAGTCAGGAAACAGGAATGCCTGGGTGGCTCAGTCAGTTAAGCATGTGCCTTCACCTTGGGTCATGATCTTAGGGTTCTGGGATCGAGTCCTACATCGGGCTCCCTGCTCAACGGGTAGCCTGCTTCTCCCCCTGCTTTACTCTCTCTCTCTGACAAATAAATAAAATCTTTAAAAAAAATAAAAGTCAGAAAACAGGGTGCCTGATGGCTCAGTTGGTTAAGGGTTGGCCTTTGGCTCAGGTCATGACCCCGGGGTCCTGGGATTGAGTCCTGTGCTCTGCTCATGCGGGGAGTCTGCTTCTTCCTCTCCCTCTGCCCTCCCCCTACTCATGCTCTGTTTGTTTCTCTCAAATAAATAAATAAAATCTTTAAAAAAAAAAACTCAGAAGGGGCGCCTGGGTGGCTCAGTCAAGCGTCTGCCTTCACCTCTAGTCATGATCCCAGGGTCCTGGGATTGAGCCCCACATCCGGCTCCCAGTTCAGTGGGAAGCTTGCTTCTCCCTCTCCCACTCCCCCTGCTTATATTCCCTCTCTTGCTGTCTCTCTCTCTCTCTGGTAGATAGAGAAATAAATAAATAATAAAATATTTTAAAAAATTTTAAAAACTCAGAAAACACTTTAAGATAACATAAAATAAAGGTAAAATTTAAGTGTAAGTTATGCAGACTGCAGATGTCACTAAAATTGAGAAAGAGAAATTTACTAGGACACGGAGTAGTTGGGAAAAATTGTGGAGTTTAGAAAAACAAATAGGATTTGAAAGCAATTTCAAGAACAATCATGTTCTACTAACACTTCTGGGACCTACCATCAGAAAAATAATGCAGGCATGATGCAAAATTCATTGATCATTTACTATTTGTCAGATATTATAGAAATGACCACCAACACAGCCTTGAACGACTCTTAATGCCTTGGCTGGGGACAGGAAACGCTGGTGGCAGATGGACTTATAAACTAGATAGAACACAGATTTAAAATAGTATGGCAAGTCACATATTTTTTAAATAAATGCTTCAAATAAAGAGATGTACCGTAACTCATGTGCAAAATAAAGAAAAGGAATGTATTGTAACTTACGTTTTCTGTTTTAACCTTCCACCATCAGTATCTGTCGTCTGAGACTGTAACTTCTCTTCATCATCTGACTGTGCCGCGTCATTACTACAAGAAGGGGAAAAAGTCATTTTAAAAGAAGCCATTTCCCCTACACCTCCCAACAATCCATGTATACGATATACTCAGGTACTCAGAATAAAACTACATCAACATACTTTAAGTTTAATTTTAATGATGATCCTGAGAATGTAAGACTTGAGAGATCAAAGAATAGGATCGTTAAGCATGGTGTAATGTACAAATGCAAGTGAAAGCAATTTAGGAACTTATGGAAAACCTACTACCAACAAGGCTTTTTGCTGGATAAAACGTGCTGCACAGAAATGACAAATTAGCTTCCTCTTTGCTCTTCAGGTACATCATGTATTACACTTTATTAAGATTTCCTTTCACAATAATCATTTCTTCGATCTACACAGATCTCACAGTAAAGTCAATCACCTCACTCTAAAGCCATTTTCTGACCTACACAGATAATACAATTACTTATAAAATTTGTGGTCCTTAAAGCAAGGTTTCAGAAACCAGGTCTTCATTTCACATGGTTTTTCACCCTCAAAATGCTTCAATAATGTCTCCAGTATTACAGAAATCATTTTAGAAGAGAAACGAAATACTAAGAGATTCTGGATATATACTGTTTTCCCCCAAGTAACTGTATGCTCTTAAGAGAGAACAATGTTGAATACATACATTAACTAACTCTATTTTAATCCCAAATTTAAAAAAAGACTGAGTAAAACCAAATTAGGAACTGTTGTAGTTCATTAACAGAGAAATCTTCAACACTCTGAAATACTACGAATGATAAATAGTAACAACAGGCCATACCTTACATATTCCTTAGTCCTTCTCATGATGTGTAGAGTGAGAGGATTAATACCTGTTGGCAGTTTCTCTTCCGCGAGACTCAAAGGTATTTCTTCTCCAGTATCCAGGTTCTTAATCATGACACTGGCTAAAATTTCCTGAGGTAAAAAATAACACCAAGAGGACCTATAATTTAATTATCTTTTTGAGTTTTCAAAATCCTCAAACATTTAAGCTAAGCACTTTCTAGATACATTCAGTATTGTGTACAGTAATTTTGAACTTTTTTCATGATACACAATCCATACACTGCAAAATGCACTCATTTAAAGTGTGTAATTCAATGATTTTGAGTAAATTCAGAGCTGTGCAACAATCAACTTTATTTAAGAGTATTTCCACTATGTCGGAAAGAAACCCCATACCCATTAAATGTCATACCTCATTCCCTTCTCCTCCCTGCCCCTGGCAATGACTATTTTACTCTTTGTTTCTATGGTTTGCCTATTCCAGACATTTCATATAAGTTAAGTCATCCTGTATGTGGTCTTTTGTGATCGGCTTCTTTCACTCAGCACCATGTTTTCAAGGTTCATCCATACTGCAGCATGTGTCAGAACTTCATTCCTTTTAATTTTTTTTAAAGATTTTATTTATTAATTTGACAGAGAGAGACACAGCGAGAGAGGGAACATAAGCAGGGGGAGTGGGAGAGGGAAAAGCAGGCTCCCTGCTGAGCTGGGAGCCTGATGCGGGACTCGATCCCAGGACCTGAGCCGAAGGCAGACGCTTAACAACTGAGCCATCCAGGAGCCCCTTCATTCCTTTTAATTGCCAAAAAACAGTCCATGTGGACTGGACATACCACATTTTATTTACCCACTCATGGGCGATGAAATAACATTTGTGTGGTTTCCACACTTGGCTATTATGAATACTTTTGTACTTTTTTAAAAAAGATTTTATTTATATAACAGAGAGGGGAGGAGAGAGAGCACACAAGCACAGGCTGGGGGGAAAGAAGGGCAGAAGGAGAGGGAAACTCCCCGCTGAGCAGGGAGCCCTATGCAGGACCCTGAGACCATGACCTGAGCCGAAGGCAGACACCTGACCGACTGAGCCACCCAGGCGCCCCACTTGTGTACATTTGTTGGGTAGATATATATTTTCATTTCTATTGGTGTACACATAGGAGTAAAGCTGCTGGATCATGGTAACTCAATGTCTAAGGTTTTGAGGAACTGCCATACTGTTTTCCAAAATACAATAATTTTTTTAAATGTATCATTTAAAAGAAATGAAAACTGGGGCGCATGACTGGTTTAGTCGGTGGAGCATGCAGCTTCGATATCGGGGTTGAGTCTGAGCACTACATTGCGTGTAGAGATTGCTTTAAAAAAATCTTAAAAAAAAAAAAGAAACAAAACTAAGATTTTGCTTCAAAACTTTATTCAGAATTGGCCAATCAATATATACTAAATTTTAACGGTTAAGTAAGTACTGGGTCGTATAACACTGTATTATCACCCAACAAGTATAAAAACATGTAATTATAACATCAAGTTCTTTTTAAGCCCACTCTCTATTAAATTTGGTCTTTGTTCTCAATACATTTATTCTACCACATAATGGTATAAAAAAGGTAATTTTAAGTTAGAGTTACAAGTTCTAAAATATTAAAAAAAAAAAACCTGGGGTACCTGGGTGGCTTAGTCAGTTAAGCGTCTGCGTTTGATCCAGGTCATAATCCCAGGGTCCTGGGATTAAGCCCTGAGACAGGCTCCCTGCTCAGTGGGGGGCTTGCTTCTCTCTCTCTCTCTCTCAAATAAATAAATAAATAAATAAATAAAGTCTTTAAAAACAAAGAAACAAAACCAAAAAAACAAACAAACAAAAAACCCCAAAACTGGGATGCCTGGCTGGCTCAGTCAGTAGACCACGTAACTCTTGATTTCAGGGTTGTGAGTTTGAGCCCCACACTGGATGTAGTGCTTAAAAATAAATAAATAAATAAATAAATGAATGTTTCAAAACTAAGAAAATCATCAATTTTCCTTTTTTCCTCTACATTATATTTTTTTGCTTAACAGCAATAAACTTAAAAAATTTTTTTAATCACGGTAAAATATTTTTATAGTTGTATATAGCTCAGCAGTATTAAGCACATTCACAGTGCTGTGCAAACATCACCACCATTCATCTTAAGAACTTCTCATCTTCTCATTATGGTTTTTATATTTTATGTTAAGAACAAAACAAATCTAATTATACCTCATCAGTAAGCTCTCTCCCGGAGTTGGACCTAGGTCTCTGAGGGCCCATCACTTCCCCTGCTATGGTCTGCCCATCAGGTGCTTTTCCATTTTCCTAAAATTATAATTTTATAAACAGAAAGTAGATGGAGTCAATTTCTATAAACACTCAATTATTCATTACCACACATAGCTCTAAAGAATTCCGTAATTCACATAATGGAGCCTACTGAAAATTTAAACGAAATACTCCATTTCGGTCCTTTATTATTCCCAACATGCTGAAAAACATTGCTGCCCATGAAAAATGTCTTCGTCTTGAAAGCAAATAAATGTTCCATTCGAACCTGACCCAAAAGCAGTTCTCTATTAGCAGAATGCCAGCACTAAGAGTGCCATTAATCAGGGTTATACTTGTGCTTATCTTGAAGGCAGGGGTTGGCAAACTTTTTCTATAAAGAGCCAGATAGTAAATGTGTTAGGCTTTCTGCTTCACATATAATGTCTACCCCATATCCTTTTTTTTTCCCTTATAATCCTTTAAAAATGTAAAGCCTATTCTTAGCTCAGGGACTCTACAGAAACACACCACTGCCAGTCTCTGTTCTAAGGCTATGACAAGACCGAAGTGCCGTATCTCGCGTTTGCTAACCTGTCCCTACCACAGCTACCACATACGTAAGCTCTGAGTCCCAGAAATTGGGCTATGGTAAAAATTCATGCTACGAGGTGCTTTCTATTGCTTCATATGTAGATATATAGCCTATGTATGAAGGTTTTGTTTCATGATTAGGTAGAGGATATTATCAATAAAAGTCCTCAATTTTGACCATTGCAGGTAAGGTAAACGAAGACTATAGTTGATGTTTATTAACAATATAATAATATTACAAATAGCAGCATCTTTCATTTTTTTGATTGCCTACTGCATGCCGGGTACTTGGTATACTTGAGCTCATTTCATCCTTGCAAGACACCTTCCAAGGAAGGTTTCCCCTCATTTTATCAATGGGACATCTGAAACTCAGATATTAAATAGTTTGTTAGAATCACCTAGCTATGCAGTAGCAGAGCTAAAAAAGGGGTTTAAGAAGGCTAGATTTTAAGGACAAGAAAATATTCTGCCTGGAGAAGAAGGTTCAACAAGCAACAAGCCGGACAGCTCGAGAAAGTTAAAGCCTCTATCAAATATAACATGAATTCACCCACCTGGGCAGTAACCACTTTATCTCCACTGGTAGCACTTGCCAAGTCAAGAGAGGGCTGGGAATCCTTGACTGTATTCTCTGAAGCCATGTTCGAACTTAGGAGAGTATCAGATGTAATATTCTCTTTGGGAACTGCAATGACGACGATGATAATAATAATGATGATGAGGATAATGGCAATAACTAGTATTTATACAGGACCTTATATAGAGCTTGAAAAGTGTTTTAACCTTTGTCTGATTCTTACCAACAATCTCATGAGGAAAGTGGTTTTATTACTCTCATTTTATATATGGAGAAACCAGGGTTCAAACAAGTCATTTCAATTCCTCTTAAGTCTCCCATAGTAACAGATTTGAAAGTTTGAAGTCTACTAAAATGTTAGAACATAGTTACTACCAATGTAAACATTCTCACTTTTCATTACTAAAATAACTTTTAAAACTTGGGCATAGTCATGATGTGGTTGTATATAGCATAAACTGAAACAAAACCAGAAAGTCAGAGTTTCAACTCCAGAATCTCTCCGCAAAAAGTTATTTCTCAGTTAAATACTTGCCATCTAGATCAGGTGTTTTAAGGGCCTCAAACTCCAATTCACTTTTCTTTTTTCTTGGTGGTGGAGCAGGCCGAGACGGAGGTGGGGGTCTTGGAGGCGGGAAGTTAGCTGGAGGGGGAGGGCGCGCTGGAACAGGCTTCTTTGTGCTAGCCACAATGTCAGGCTCTGGAGTGAGCTGTCTAGGGGGTTTGGCGGGAGCCACTTCTTCCATGGCAGCAAAATCTTTAGCAGATGAAGAGTCTGAGGACACAGGTTCTAGAACCTCACTTCCTTTGACTTCCATGGCTTCCTTGTTCAATACTTCTGTTTCCGTTTCAGGCACATGATGTTGCTCAGTTGAACTTACTTCAGTTAACTTAGTGATTTCATCTACTGACTTCTCATAGGTGTCATCAGAAGGAAAACGTCTTTTTGATTTTAATTCAGTTTCTTCAGTTGCTTTCTGACTCTCTGCCTTTTTGGAATCTTCCTGTAGTACTTGATCTATGGCTAATAGTCCAGGTATATTGCTAAGATCTGTTCCAGCCACGATAGAACTGGCAGTAGCCTGGTCAGAGTGTCCTTTTCCTTTGGAATCTGAGGAGTCATCTTCCAGGTGTAGTACTTTCTGACTCTCCTCTATAATACTTTCAATAATCTGATGAAAGGTTAAAAAAAAAACCAGCTTTAAAAAAATGAGGCTATTTACAAGAACATAACAGCTAACCATTTACATAGTACTTACTATGTGCCATGGAATGTTCTTAACAGTTTACATTTTTAATCTTTTTTTTTTTTAAAGATTTTATTTATTTGACAGACAGAGAGAGGTCACAAGCAGGCAGAGAGGCAGGCAGAGAGAGAGAGAGGGGGAAACAGGCTTCCCTGCTGAGCAGAGAGCCTGATGCGGGGCTCGATCCCAGGACCCTGAGATGATGACCCGAGCCAAAGGCAGAGGCTTAGCCCACCGGGCCACCCAGGTGCCCCTACATTTTTAATCTTTACAAATAACCATATGCAATTGCATTCTTAATATCCTCATTACACAAATGAAGGAACAAAGGCATAGAGGGATCAAGTGATTTGTCCCAGGACACAGAGCTTGTAAGTGATGAAGTTGGCAAAAATCCTGGGAGTTTGGTTCCAGAATCTGAACTTTTAACCATTACAATAGGGAATCTGTCAGCATGTATAATCACAAAGTTCAACGAACCTTGTAAAATAAAGTTCAGACCTAAATTTACATTCAGACTCTTCAGGTCATTCTTCATTTACATATTTATGCCAAGTTAGGTCCAGTAACAACCTACTGCTTTGAGCCTCGTTAACAAAACCATGAGACTCAAAACCACCTAGCACAAAGAATTGTTTACTTCTGAACTCAAGCCTAAGACAGAAAAAGCCAGCAGATGCAGGGAGATTAACACTCTTAAACAAACTACACCTAATATTGCACTATTCAGAGAAATGGCAGGACCACGAAAAGCGTTCAGAACACTCAGCCCATCTTGGCCTTTCCTGTTTTATTTCTTCTCTGTAGCTGAAAATTACAGATGGGGTTTCTATATGTTCTACCAACATTTAAAAGAAAAGATATTTTCTACCCAGTACTGTCATTATTACCACATAAAATCTCCCAGTCCACTTATATTTCCACCATGCCCAACTATGGATGACTTCTGCTTTCTCAATTCCTTGGCTCCAGAAAGTTAACAGAACGTATCACAGAGCCATCCTGATCTCGCTTACCACAAATTCTTGCTGACTTGAACCGAACATAACTGCTGCTTAATAATATTCCTCTCTGATTTCTCAGCATAGTCCACATAATGATTTTTCTCAACCTTCAAATTTTTACCTTAGTCTTTTTTTAAAAAAAGATTTATTCAAGAGAGAGAAAGAACATAAGCTCGCGGGGGGGGGGGAGTTGCGGTAGAGTGGCAGGCAGAGAGAGAGGGAGAGGGAGAAGGAGAAGGAGAAGCAGGCTCCCCACTGAGCAGGGAGCCCAACATGGGGCTGGATCCCAGGGCCACCTGAGTGGAAAGCAGTCACTTAACCAACTGAGCCACCCAGGTGCCCCTTATCTTAGTTTTGATCACACTTTTTAAAAAAATTTTTTTAAATTTATTTTTTAAAGATTTTATTTATTTATTTGACAGAGAGAGATCACAAGCAGGCAGAGAGGCAGGCAGAGAGAGAGAGAGAAGGGGAAGCAGGCTCCCTGCCGAACAGAGAGCCCGATACGGGGCTTGATCCCAGGACCTTGGGATCATGACCCGAGCAGAAGGCAGAGGTTCAGCCCACTGAGCCACCCAGGCACCCCTGATCACACTTTTAACACAGGAATATTAACTAGGGTCCACCTACTTTGTCAATTAGGTGGTTGCTGAGCACTGAGTACCTCAGTGATAACAGAAGCCAGTGGGTTTAAGAATGAGTAAGAGGTGACAACATAGAGATAGCCAGTACAACCCATGTTTTCAAAAGGCTTGACTATAAATGGAAGAGGCTGTAAGAAAGTGACCCAGCATTTTCACAAGCTGAGGGGAAGGAGCCAATGGAAAGTAAGATAGCAAAGTCCTGGAGAACAAAAGAAAGAGAGTCTATTGTGTATTAGGCCTGCACACATATTTTCTATTTAATCATCACGCAGGCCTTGAGATAGCTAGATTATCTCCCTTCTATAGAAGCAAGAATCTGAGGTAAAGGCATTAAGAATTTTGTCCAAGAAAAAAAATTTTGTCCAAGGTCCTACAGCTAGTAAACTACAAAGTCAAATCTGAAATCCAGGTTTTCCCCAAAAATCCAGTGTTTTTTATATTATACCATGCTACTTTGGAGAGAAAAAAAAAAAAAAACAACAACTAAATTCTCAGACTTGAAAAAGAGGCAAAAGATGAAAACGAATTTGCAGGTAAGGGAAGTGAGAGCAGAAATGGTGTAAATTCAGGCTTCTTAGTCTCTAATATCTTCGTGCAGTCAGAAACAAGGTTATCTGCTGAAAGCAAACAGGATACATGTGGGCGCAGTGAGCATGAAGTGACTGTAAAGGTATGAAATGCATAATGGAAAGGCTAATGCCAGAAGAGGGGTTAAAATGAGGTTAAAAACCGTAAGTCTTCCCCAATCCCTTATCCCTTCAGTAAACTTCTATCAGTCTTACCATTCACTACAGTATGAACTATAATAAAAACACAAAGTAGTATATGGGCTAGCTCTATATAAATATTTTCTCCATAGCAGATATTAGCTTTTGAAACACAAGGCCCATATTTTCCCCCTCTTGACAAGCCCTCATGGCACCTACGTGTAGTACCTAACCCTGTAATTTTTATTTTCTGGGTTTCAGGAGGTAGCAGGCAGGGAAAGACCAAAAGAACAGTGAGAATCAAGACCAACATAGATTGGGACTTCACCAAGATCAAAAGTTTTTGCACAGCAAAGGAAATAGTCAACAAAACCTAAAGACAACTGACAGAATGGGAGAAGACATGTGCCTGCGACATATCGGATAAAAAGGGCTAGTATCCAAAATCTATAAAGAACTTATCAAACTCAACACCCAAAGAACAATCCCATCAAGAAATGGGCAGAAGGCATGAACAGACATTTCTGCAAAGAAGACATCCAAATGGCCAACAGACACATGAAAAAGTGCTCAGCATCACTCGGTATCAGGGAAATACAAATCAAAACCTCAATGAGATGCCACCTCACACCAGTCAGAATGGCTAAAATTAACAAGTCAGGAAATGGCAGATGTTGGTGAGGATGCAACACTGTTGGTGGGAATCCCAGCTGGTGCAGCCACTCTGGAAAACAGCACGGAGCTTCCTCAGAAAGTTGAAAATAGAGCTACTGTACGACCCAGCAATTGCACTACTGAGTATTTACTCCAAAGATACAAACATAGTGATGCGAAGGGGCATGTGCACCCCAAGGTTTCTAATAGCAATGTCCACAATAGCCAAACTGGAAAGAACCTAGAATTCTATTGACAGATCAATGGATAAAGAAAATGTGGTGTATGCATGCATGTGTATATATATGTGTACACACACACACACACACATAAACACACGAATATTATGCAGCCATCGAAAAAGAAATGAACTTTTGCCATTTGCAAGATGTGGATGGAACTAGAGGTTATTATGCTAAGTGAAATAAGTCAATCAGAGAAAGACAATTATCATACGATCTCACTGATATGAAGAATTTGAGAAACAAGACAGAGGATCATAGGGGAAGGGAAGGGAAAATGAAGCAAGACCAAACCAGAGAGGGAGACAAACCCTAATCTCAGGAAACAAACTGAGGGTTGCTGGAGCAGAAGTGGGTGGAGGGGGATGGGGTGGCGGGATGATGGACATTGGGGAGCGTTTGTGTAGTGGTGAGTTCTGTGTATTGTGTAAGACTGATAAATCACACACCTGTGCCCCTGAAACAAATAATACATTATATGTTAATTTAAAAAAACAGAAGAGAAAAAAAGACACACTAACAGGGGACATACCCTCTTATCTTCCCTTCTCATCTTCTGTGATACGAACTCCATCACTTCACCCTTTGTATTACAAAAGAATTATCATATTCTCCCCTGGACATACTTCCAAAATGTACTTTCTTTAAACTAAAAGGATCTCTATGGCAAATGGTGCTGTAGTCAGGCCCAAAATTGTTTTGTTGTTTATATTTAATAAAGGCATAATGAGCATAATGACAAATGAAATTTTTTTTAAAAAAGATACCAACATAGAGATAAACATGCTAAAGCAACTGTTAGCTCCACAACACCCCCCTGCTTCAAAAAACTGATTTTCCAGTGACTATAAAACCAGATGTTTTAGAATGATATAAGAGGCATTCCCATAGTTTGGCCCTAACTTGGGGCTCTAGTCTCATTTGCAACCATTCTGCTCATTTTCTCTTCTCCAAGCCTTTGGTTATGCCTTTCAACTCTCACTCCTGCCTGTGCAAATCTTATCCATTCATCAAGAACTAGCTCAGATGTTACTTCCTCCATGAGGTCTTCCCCATTCCTATTCTCAAGCAGGAAGTTAAATCTCCCTTTCTGTTCTTATTACAGTCTGTAAGTTTATACGAACACTTTACATTCAGTTTTGTGTTTAACTAATTGCCTCTACTAAAACATAATAAGCTCCTGGGGACAGGGACTGTGTCCTGCCTGGAGCAGTGTATATTCCCCACAGCCTTTATCATTCAGATGTGATACTTAACTGAAAAGACTAGAACTTAAAGTGAGACTTAGCCTTAAGCTTCACTCAACTGTTCCATAATGTTTACTATTTTTTTCAGTTTCTAAAGTCTCCTTAAAAATCACCTTTTTTGGACACTATTATTTATCCTAAGAAAAAATTCTTAAAAAGGAAAAGAAGAACTCTAGTGGAAAAAATAGAAACATTTCAAGTTTTCAACAATAAAAATGGCTAGATGCCTTGTAATACATTAGATAGAAACTGACATTATCAAATGAAAATTGAATATTGAAATTGTGTAGAAATATGATGAAAACTAATAATGGTAAGAGGAAAAAGTAAAATACAGAATTCTATCTACACTATTATTAGGCAAAGAAAACAAAAAAAACAAAAATGCATGCAAATGGGTGAGAGGAATGCTGAAAGGAATGCTGAAAAATTAAGACCACTGTTTGTTACAGTGTAGAACTGTGGGCAACTTCTGATCTAAAAAGAAAAAAAAATGGTATTAGTTTTGTTGTCTTATTTATGCTGATACACAATACCATTTCTCCCCCCAAAATTCCTTTTAAAGGAAAAAAGCTGATCAATATTAAAATATGGAGTCCAATGGGGCACCTGGGTCTCTCAGTTGGTTCAGCATCAGACTCTTTTTTTTTTTTAAGATTTTATTTATTTATTTGTCAGAGAGGGCCACAGAGAGAGGACAGCAAGAAGAATGGCACACAGGAGAAGCAGGCCCCCTGGCAAGAAAGGCGCCCGTTGTGGGACTCGATCCCAGGACCCTGGCATCATGACCCTGACCTGAAGGCAGACACTCAACTGACTGAGCCACTCAGGCATTCCTTAGCATCTGACTCTTGATTTTGGCCCAGATCATGATCTCAGGGTTGTGGAACTGGGCTCCATGCTGGGCATGGAGTCTGCTTAAGATTCTCTCTCTCTCTCTGCTCCTCCCCACTCTTTCTCCCTCCCTAATAAATAAAATAACACTTAAAATATGGAGTCCATTAAATTTATAAATTCTGTAAGGGAAGAACAATGGATCCTCATCGAGGGTGATCTGGCCTAGTACTCCTTCCCAGAATTCCGGTGATGTCTGTAGGACATTTTTAGTTGCCACGGCGCGGTGCAGGTAGGGAGGAATCTACTGATGTCTAGTGGGCAGAAGCCAGGGACGCTGTTAAGTATCCTGTGACGCACAGAAAAGTGTCCCCTTCCCTCCGCAATAAAAGATTATTCAGCCCAAAGTGTCACTATTGAGAAACTCTGGGACAGAGAATGTGTCATGTTGCTGGTCTCCAGAAACCCACTGGCTAACGTGGGGCCAGAGGCCCAGAAAGTACTCACAAGCAGTGTAACTGAATGAACACACGGCATCCTTTCTCCTCGGGTTTTCTCCTGATTCTATGAACTACTCGTTGTCAAAATTGTTATCTTGTGCTCAGTCTCTTCTAGTAAACCGAACTCTAAAGCTCTAAAGCATCAATTCTTTAAAAGGTATCAAAGGCATTATCAGAGTAATGACTTCTTGTAGCCTCTAGCACCTAAAGACATCAGAATTTGCTGCGCAGAGCTTTTCAAAACCTTTTTAACTCTTGGTAATAACTTCAAGAATAGCTACAGCTTATTCTATAAAAACAGAGCATAAAAAATAAAAAAACATTACAAAACATTTTTCAAAATATTGTTTAAAGGAACAATGATAGACTAATTTGCTTGTGAAATGACCTCTAAAAAGCCTGATGTGTCTTCAATCTCAGACTCAAGATTCAAGGAACATTTACTGAACATCTGCCAAGTACACGGCACTATACTCAAATGATACAGAAAATTTTCCACTTTAAATACAACATGTACATAGGACATCTGTTAAACTAATATTGGCATTATATCTTACCAACCTTTTTAGACACATCTTGCTTGAATTCTTGCACAGGAGACTCATTTCCAACTTGGTGTGCAGTGTTCTCAGTTTCCTATATTAAAAAGAAAAGAAAAACAGATCAAATGATGACTTCTTTAAAATTCTGCTTAAGATGGGTACAAATTAGGAAACACAGCATTAATAAAGCAAAGGCCCATAAAGGGCTTAGATGTTTGTCTGAGGAAGATGCCCAGATATTTTATGCTAAGCAGGAAAATGTGATTTGTATAAGGTTACTACTAGTTAGCAATTTTTGGTATTTCTTTTTTTTTTTAAGATTTTATTTATTTATTTGACAGAGAGAGATCACAAGCAGGCAGAGAGGCAGGCAGAGAGAGAGAGAGAAGGAAGCAGGCTCTCCGCTGAGCAGACAGCCCCATGCAGGATTCCATCCCAGGACCCTGAGATCATGACCTGAGCCAAAGGGAGAGGCTTAACCCACTGAGCCACCCAGGTGCCCAATTTTCAGATTTCTATGGCAATAAGTTATTTTCCTATAAATGTGCCTATCTTTTTAACATTAAGAACCATACAGGAAGGTAAAAACTATTGAGTACCTCTGTAGCTTAAAAGATGAAGGATTTAAAAAAAAAAAGATGAAGGATTTAAAGCAAGAATCAGAATTCCTGTTTTTCCCAGAGTATTGCTCCATAAATATGCATAAATACAAAAGTACATAACGTAAAAAAACACATTCAGAGAATAGTTTTCTTAAAAATGTTACATGCTTTAGATGAAAGGAATCAAGACAACAGAAGTTAAAGTCCTCCAAACAGTAACAGATGAAAATTAAACCCACCAAAAATACATATATATCTACGTATACATTCATATACTCATACGTACATATATATATATATTTGGGAGGTTAGACAACGTAGAAATGGATACGGCTTTTCTGCTGGAAAAAAAAATTCTGGTAAAGTAAGACAATTACACATTTGCAAATGTAAACATAGTATTTGTCTCCATTCTAAAATGTCATTATGTTTACAAAAGTATAGCAATTTGAATGCTATTAATGATACTGAGAAAAAAATCTTTTCATAATTTTTGGCATACATGATTGAGTCAGAGAAGGTCACAATAACCATTTTTGACAGATAAGCAACCTAAGGCACATAACGATGTACGTATGAAGGTAGCACTTATATAAGTATTAGGATATGATCTTGATAGGTGATGTGATAAAATTACTCCAGATCAACATAATGCTGAAGATTTAATGCGTTAAGAGACATTTCTGTAGGATTTCCGATATCTTCAAGCTGAAAAGTTGTTTCATGGAGTTTAAAGTGTCAGGTTAAAAAAAATCCTGACTGTACCACAACCCATGAAGGCCTACATCTTTGACACCTTCTTTATTCCTCACCTCCCTTGTCCACCATAACCCCACAATCACACTGTGGCCAACTGGATGGTTTTTTACCACCTTAGAGTGACAGCTCAAGTGTTCTCACATTAGAAAAACCTTCCCCGACCACCTTAAAATATCCTTACCTGCTTAACTTTCTATCACATTATCTATATTTTCCACTTCTTCATTGTACTTATCCCCATCTGAAACGACCCTGTTAACTTACTTATTTTTTTTTGTCTCTTCCCTGCCCCGCTAGAATGTAAGCTCCATGAAAGCAGGGGCTTTGTTCTGTCTACCACTATGTACCCAGTACCTAAAGCAGTGCCAGGAAAAGTAATCATTTGCTAAATGAATGCTGAATAACGCATGGCTCTGGCATTTCTTTAGTAAATACACATACCTTAAGTTTATGTATCTTTAATCAAATTCTGGTTTTAAACTAAAAGAAAAAGAACTCTAATCAAAACCAATTAGTAAGATAATCTTGACAAGATGAAGGACAGAGAATATTTGAAAGGCTGATGGTCATCAAGTACAGTTAATGCATATTAGAGAACCACCTTCAACTACCTTAAGAATTAAGTACATTTATACAATTATCCTCCAATAACTGTTCATTAGTAGGAAAATCAGAAGCACTATACAACATTAATTCCATGGGTATGTTCCCTAAATTAAACCTAGCAAACATACACACTAATAATTCCTGTGCCTCAATTTAATTTGTTTGAATTAAGTACTTACAACCATCACAGATTAACATTGTCACACTGATCAAAACTGCCAAGCAGTGGTTAGACTTCTATTTTATCTAGCTTTAACAAAACTCTCCTGAACTTTGAACCTTTGAAAGGTATCAACCTCTATAAGGTAAACTGTGGTTAAGTCACAAGTTTAATGGAGTGATATGGCACCTACCAGAGGATCTAATCTCTAGAGAAGTTCATCAGAAGGTTTCTTAGTAAAACCTGATCTAGCACATATAGAGTCATCTGTGATTCTCTCTCAGGTATGTCTAAGGTCCAAGCCTTTCCCCTAGCACCTTGATCAGGCTGTGGAGGTAAAGCAATGGAAGCCAAGAGTGTGTCTGCAGACAACCAACACCAACTAGAACTTCAGACACTCCTCATTTATTACCTCCTTCGGAAGATGGGCTGCTGCATTACTAAAGCACAAGGCCTACCAAATCCCAGCTTCCCACCATCAGGCCATTGCTCTAACCCATTCCTATCACAACCTCAGGAATAGATGTCCTTAAGAGGTACAGTTGGGGGAGGGGTGGTGCGTGGGTGGTGGCTCAGCTGGTTAAGCATCTACCTTCAGCTCAGGTCATAATCTCAAGGCCTTGAGACTGAGTCCTGCATCCCGCTCCCTGCTCAGGGAGTCTGCTTCTCCCTCAAACTTTGTCCCTTCCCCCCATCCACCCTCCCACCCTGATCATGCTCTCTTTCTCAAATAAATAAATAAAACCTTAAAAAAAAAGAGGTATGGTAGGATCATTCAGTGTCTAGCAACTCAGTCCACTGTTTCCCTCCACCTCTGTTGGATATTAGAAAGCCACTTGTACCCTCCTCACAGTACTCAGTTCTACAGTTTGAGCTTTTAATTTTAATAAGCACATCCAATAAAAGACTAATCATTTTAACAAATAATTTGTACAAAAGTAATCTATACCTGGGGTGCCTGGGTGGCTCAGTCAGTTAAGTGTCTGCTTGGGCTCAGGTCATGATCCCAGGGTCCGGGAATCAAGTCCTACATCTGACTCCCAGCTCAGCAGAGAGCCTGCTTCTCCCTCTCCCTCTGCTGCTCCCCCTCCCTGTGCTCTGTAAAATAAATAAAATCTTTTTAAAAAAGATTTTATTTATTTATTTGACAGACAGAGATCACAAGTAGGCAGAGAGGCAGGCAGAGAGAGAAGGGGGGGGTAGGCTCCCCGCCGAGCAGAGAGCCCGATGCAGAACTCGATCCCAGGACCCTGAGATCATGACCCAAGCCGAAGGCAGAGGCTTGAACCCACTGAGCCACCCAGGTGCCCCAAATAAATAAGATCTTAAAAAAAAAGTAATCTACACTCTAGGAGATTTTCATTATTATCTACTAAAGAACAGTAAGCTAAAAATGTCAGTTATTAAAAAATTCAGGTCACTTCTAGTTCTTATTAGTGAGGAAGGGGAAGCTATTAACAGTGACTGAAGTAAAATTTTATGTATTTACTTACTTTTTTACAGTTTATTTATTGTTTTTATTTTATTTTTTTTAAAGATTTTATTTATTTATTTGACAGAGAGAGATCACAAGTAGGCAGAGAGGCAGGCAGAGAGAGAGGAGGAAGCAGACTCCCTGCTGAGCAGAGAGACCGATGTGGGGCTCGATCCCAGGACTCTGAGATCATGACCTGAACCGAAGGCAGCGGGTTAATCCACTGAGCCACCCAGGCGCCCCAATTATTGTTTTTATTTTTTGTTAACCTTTACCCCCAATGTGGGGCTCCAACTCATGACTCTCAGATCAAGCCAAGAGTCACATGTTCTCCCGACTGAAGCAGTTACATGCCCCAAAAGTGAAATTTTAAAAAATATTTTAGGGGCGCCTGGGTGGCTCAGTTGTTAAGCCTCTGCCTTTGGCTCAGGTCATAATCCCAGGGTCCTGGGTTTGAGCCCCACATCGGGCTCTCTGCTTGGCGGGAAGCCTGCTTCTCCTTCTCCCACTGCCCCTGCTTGTGTCCCTCTCTGGCTGTGTCCCTCTCTGTCAGATAAATAAAATCTTAAAAATAAACAAACAAACAAACAAACAAACATTTAATTTAGAGACATGACCTCTACTCTCTTTTGCTGCGAAGAGTAAAAAAGAAAAACAACCAAGAAATAATTCTTAAAATAGTGGTCATGTCCATCCATCAATTCCTATCAACACAATTCCTTTGTCCAAGTCTCAAGTCTTAACATTCTAAATGCCTCTTAACAGCTCTCTCTGCACTTAGTCTCTTTCCTCCAAACTATCTCCCACCCTTCCACCATTTAATCTTTTGCTAAGTCCCCCAGCCAAAAAACTCTGAAGAGCACAACTGTTAAGACATATAAAAATTGACTTTTAAATGTCTTGCTTCAAAATTTTAAAGCCAAGAGTTTTTTTTAAGCATTTTATTTATTTATCGGAAAGTGGGGGGTAGGGGAGAAAGGGACAAGTTGACTCCATACAGACCCCTGGCTCAATCATGACCTGAAGAGAAACCAAATGTTGGAAGCTTAACCGACTGAGCCACCCAGGTGTCCCAAAGCCCAGAGTTCTTAAACTGACATTTGAGGTTCATCAAAATCTGGCCCCACTTTATTTTTCCATCATTTCACTGCTGAAACATTTATATAGGTCACACCAGTTTTTCAATGCTCCCAGCAAATTCTATACTTTTGCATATTAATGAGCTTTATACTATTGCCTAACATACAATGCTTTCCCAATTTTTCTCTATCTGCCTATGCAGTTCTCTCCCAATTTTCAAAGCCAGCCCAAGTTCTACCTCCTCCCTGAAACTTTTCTCTGCTATTCCAGGTACCCATGCTCTCTCCTGTTGTTCTATCTCCCCCTTCCTCTTCCAAACTGCTTGGAGCACTTAAAGTGTACTCTATTCTACAAACACTAATACCTCATATACATCCCTCTTCTGTGAGAATGTAAAATCAGAAAAAAATCAGGACTATACCAAATCTTTCTTTGGACTGCTTAATACCAATAGATACACTGTTATACATGATATGCACTCAATAGTCTGAGTACATTCATACCATAGACTACTATTTAATAAAAAGGAATAAACTGTTGATACAAGCAACAATTTGGCTCACAATCCTTTGTGCCAGTCTCAAAAGGTCACACACTATATAACTGCATTTATAGGATATTCTCAAATGACAAGATTACCGGAATGGAAAACAGCTTAGTGGCTGCCTGGGGTTAGGGACGATGTGAGGAAGGGGGCAGGTGTGACTTTATAAAAGGGTGGCACAAGGGAGATCTTTGTGGTGATGAAATAGATCTGCACCTTGTGGTAGTTACACAAATATATATATGTAATAAACTGAAGCAAAACCATACACTCCTGTTGTACCAATGTCAAATTTCTGATTTTGATATGGTACTATAATTAAGATAAAACCAATGGGTGAAATGCATGACAGATACACAGGAGTCCTCTGTACTCTGTTCGCAGCTTCTTGTAATCTGTAATTATTTCAAAATAAAAAGTAAAAAAGAACACCAACCAACTTTTTTTTTTTTTTACTAAATATGTACATTTTCTATCTAATTTTATTCAAGTTAAGCACAATCTATAATTACTGAGATAAAGTAAATTTCACAAACCTATTTCTTATAACCTATAAATATCTTAGAGCTAAGTGGCTTTTAAAACGTATAGGCATAAACAGCAATTGTCTCTGGGTGTGGGGACTGGGAAGTGGAGGATGAGGAATGGGAGGGAAGCTCCATTTTCAACCATCCACTTTTTGTACTGAGCAGATTTTAACCACATCAGGAATTATTTTTAAAAACTGTTTTCATCAAATAGAGTAAATACGATAACTTTTATTAAAAAATATAAGGAATGAAGAACAACCTTAAACACTCAGTTTAAGAAAAAGAACATTACCATTAGCTTTCAACCTCTTGCATATCCTTCTTCATTTTTATTACATTCTTTTCCCCTCAGAGATGCCGGATACCTTGAATTTTGTGTTTGTCATCGCTCGCCGTTCTTTACAGTTTTACCATGTTTCTATCGCTAAACATTATATTCTAAAGAATATATTCTTTCACGTGTTTTTGAACTTAATATAAATGGAATCTTACTGTATGTATCTTACTGTGACTTGTTTTTCCCCCACTTAACACTATGGTGCTGAAATCCATCTATGTCACTGTATATTACCAATTCATTCGTATCTGCTGCTGTAGAATATGCCATATGAACATATCACAATTTATCAAAGAGATCAGTATCCAATGTGTATAAATAGAAGGTAGGGACACTGGTACTAAAAATATATATATAGCATGTTTGAAATTATACATACATTATACACAGATATACTCAAACATACACATACAGTATATATTCTGTTCGATGGAAATAGTTTTGTTTGGTGATATTCTTGGACCTAAAATGGCTCTCACTTGCATAACATCTCAATATCAAACTCCTTTGCTTGGAAATAAAGCTGGGATTGATTTTTATAGAGTGATGATACCAACGCATGTGCCCATAAGAAGTATACAATTGTTTTGGTTATTCTGCATTTCTGTCATGCAAGTATTATTTTTTCAATTAACATACACACGTATTTTATAGTGTTCTTCTATTCTAAAAATTATAAAACAAAATTAGTGGAAATCTAAAATATTTACAGTCCCTTCCTTATAGCACAATATTTGTTATTTCTAGAGTACCTAATAAAACCTTAGTAGGACACAGGGACAATATTATTTACCAAAAAATAAGTAACAGCAAAAGCAAGAAAATGAAGATTTACATAAAATAGAAAAATGAATGAGAAGTGTACACTACTTGTAGAAATATAACTCTGAGAAAACACAACTTACCTTTAATGTTGAAATCCCAACCTTTCCTGGAGACCTGTACAGAAATAAAAGGAAGGAGGTGAAGAGTGGAATCAAGAAGGGAAATACTTCTATACATGTATTAAAGAGAAGCCCACATCAAAAAAAAAATTTATATAGTTTGTGATTGAAAAAAAGTCTTCTGTGCACATAGAAAATGTAGAAAACATAAAAAAGTAGAGAAGAAAATACAAGTGACCCATAATCCTACAATCTAAAGATTTGAGTATGTACCTTTTCTCTTCCCAGGTACTTATGATGTATAACACTATAATAAGCATCCTTGGAAATAAAATTCTGTGCTCTTCCATGATAAATGTCTTTAAAGTAAATTTTCTGTGGGTGCCTGGGTGGCTCAGTCGGTTCAGCTCCCAACTCTTCATTTCAGCTCGGGTCATGATCTCAGGTTCGTGAGATCAAGACCCCAGCAGGGCTCCACGCTGGGCATGAAGCCTGCTTAAGAGTCTCTCTCTCTCCCTCTCCCTTCACCCCTCCTCCCCATGCCATGTGTATTTTCTCTCTCTCTAAAAATAAGTAAATCTTAAAACAAAACCCAAAACAAACAAACAAAAACCCCAGTAGCTATATAAAATAGTGCGCACCATGTAACTGTAGTACCCGGACAATATAATTCCATGTTAACAAAGGACAATTTCCAGAAATGAAAAATATATTCCCAATTATTTGGCTTCCCAGGCAAACCTATACTGCTATGTAACAAAATTCTCTTTATCCAGAGGTGATTAGGACCAAGGCTATTATGATTTTTAAAAAAAGGGAAAAAGAGGGGTGCTTGGGTGGCTCAGTAGGTTAAGCCTTGGACTCTTGATCTGATCTCAGATGGTGAGATCAAGCCCCACATTCGGCTCTACCCTCCATGGGGAGTCTGCTTTTCTCCTTTTCCCTCTACCCCCATTCAAGCACACTGTCTCTCAAATAAATAAATCTTAAAAAAAGAAAAAAGATTCCACACAGAGGATGTCTAAAACAATGTAAGTGCAATCAAAATTACAAAAATAAAAACAAAAACCTTGAAGGGGCTTGAATTTCTATGCAGCATATATTCTGAATGCCAATTAGGAAAAAAAATCACCCGCCTCAGAGGTGTAGCTGCAAGATGAAATAAGATTAAAAAAAAAAAAAACAAAAAAAAACTTAAGCACCGTATGAGGTAGAAAAGGGAAGAAAAAGAAAATCTACTTTCCCTATGATCTTCACTTTGAGAAATCTGACCAGGTTTTTTAGCTGTCAAAGAAAAAAAAAATACACACAGAATGTGGAACCACATTTATCTGTTATGTAACCGATTTCATAAAGAACGCTTTCTGGCCATTGAGTCACAGGATCTAAATTATGGGCCAATTGTTGACACACATGGAAATATTCCAGATTGGTTCTAACAGGACTTTACATATAGCGATGTACAAACTGTAAAGAGTAATTTATTACTTCCTTCTGAGAGCCAAGGGGACATAATGAAAAGAGCAAGAGCTTTCAAGCATATGGACTCTGCTTCAATAGTCTTTTCTACCATTTACTCTACATGTGATCTTGATCAAATCATTTAATTTCTCCAAACCTCAATCTCCTCTGTAAAAGGGCAAAAGCACTCTATTTCACAGAACTTCTGTAAGGACTAAGTGAGAGCCATGGGGCACGCACAGTAAGTGGGAGTTTCTTCAGCAGCTTTAAACTGCTTCATCCAAACTCACAAATGATGAGCTTCAGCAAGTGCCTCCAAGATACTCTGGCAGTTTGTCAGCAGCGGGGAGCCCGAGTCCAGTTTTTGAACACAGGAAAGATACCCTAAAGGCTGTCAAACTCCAGCCCACTTACCAACAGGGAATATGAAAAAAATCAGATTATATTGAGCTGGTGATTAAAATGGGATCTGGCTTACATTCTATGATGCCATTAAAAAAAAAAAACTAGTAACAAAAGACACTCATGTTTGAAACATATTTTAAATGTTATGAAGTTGTTATGGCCTTGGTAGGCAGTAAAACATTTCAGACTACTATACCTTCTTCTAGGCTAATCAAGCCTAAGATTGTCTTTACCAGGGTAGCCTGCAGGTAAGACCAGAATTCTTTTATGATACATTTTTTTGAACCATTTATAGAACATTGGCATCTAGTAAAAAGTGAAAGTAGTGGCATCTGGGTGGCTCAGTGGGTTGGGCCTCTGCCTTTGGCTCGGGTTGTGATCTCGGGGTCCTGGGATCGAGCCCCAAGTAGGGCTCTCTGCGGGGAGCCTGCTTCCCCTCCCCTCTCTGCCTGCCTCTCTGTCTACTTGTGATCTCTGTCAAATAAATAAAATCTTAGCTAAAATGATTTGTATCATGTGCCAAGATGAGAAAAGGACGATTAGTTTCACCCTAAGAAACAGTAAATCATTATTTAGTATTCCCACAGGAAGTGTTCCTAATGGGGCATTGTAATAATAATAAAACAATGGCCATCATTTATTACGCATGTGCCCCAAACCTTGCTAAGACTTGACTTGTTCCAGCTTCTTTCGTCCTCACAACTATCCTATGAGGTAGTTTTATTACCTTCCCTATTTTACACAACAAAACTTGAGGCTTGGGTCAGATGAGGTCATTTAAATTGCACTGCTAATAAATAGTTGGGCCAGAATCAGACCCCAGGCAGTTTGATGCTGAGAGCCCACTCTCTAAAATACTTCGCAATACTGCCTCCTTTCTGGGTAAGGTGTTAAGATGACGATTATGAAAATATCCTAATTGGTGCTATGAATGAACACCGAAGTAAAAGCAATTAGTGCTGCTTCTTGAGTTGGACCAGACTGATTAAGTCAAAAGCTCTGAATCCTAATCTGCCTTTTACATACAATTAACACCTAATTGATTTGACACTGCTAGGGAATAAAATAATGAAACATTCCATATATAATATTTCAAGAGAGATGAAGCTTCTCTTTCAGTGCCAAATTTTTGAAAGTATTTTAATTATTTTTGAATTTCCATTTCAAAAGCTGTTTGTAAATAAGCACATGGTGAGCTAAGTCTTGCCATTTCAGTAATCTTTCCCTTGAAAATACCTTCTTAAAGGATATAAAATTTTCTCTTTCTTACTGACTTAGAGTAATTATGCTCAAATACCACACTACATTTTAATATAGTACTGCCCTCCAGGGACACTTATTTGCAGGGACTTTATTTGCCTTCACACTATAGGACCCTAGGCTATTATGGTTGGAATGTCTGTTGTACAGTTTTCAATCTCTTTCCTCAATTTAAGTGGTCATTTTAATTGGTCACTTCTTACAGTTGGCCATGTACCTGTCTTTAAAAGCTTCTCTCCCCATCCCCTTCTAATTTTTTAAAAAGATTTTATTTATTTATGTGACAGAGAGAGAAAGTGAGCAAGTCCAAGCACAGGGAGCGGCAGGCAGTGGGAGAGGGAGAGGCAGTCTCCCCCTTGGGAGCAGGGAGCCCACGCAGAGCTTAACCCCAGGAGTCCCGGGATGATGAGCTGAGCCAAAGGCAGATACTTAACTGACTAAGCCACCCAGGCACCCCAGCCCCTTCTAATTTTTGCTTCTAATCCTCATTGAGAGGGGAAACCAGGTTTTCAAAAATGGAATTGTAAATCTACTAAAGGAAGAATCCAGAAATTCTGAGTGGGGGTCTCCCCATGAGAATTTTTGTACACGATTTTACTGTGGACTTTGTGGCACTTTTTTTGACTGGTCAGACTGTTTAAGTGATTACTTATTTTCAGCTGTACTAGAGAATCCATTTCCAAAGAAGTGTCCAGGTAAGGGAGGGGTCCCTAATCTTAAGTATCTCTGGACAATAGCTCAACTCAGCCTCTGTTTCTCAGTCTCTAACTTTGAGGTAGAGATAACACTATACTATTTCAAGGCGATTATGGGCCTAAACTATTCATGTTCAAGTTTGGGGACAGGAGAAATGGGTGTCTAGAGGTCAAGAAAATTAAGTTCTACTTTAGGTATTTCCAACAAACAGCTGCATGACCTTTAAGCAGGAGTTTTTTAAGAGTTCCTGTAATTTTAGGAAATTTTAAGACCGTTCATTAGCTTGGGAGAGAAGATGCTGATTTATACCATGATTAATGATCTAAATTTTATACCCTCGGATTTCCCTTAAACTTGAGATATACTGTAGGAAACACTGACATAATCCAACACACACATCCAGAAACGGCCAGTATTACTTCATACATCTAGTTAACTAGAAAAATATTCCTTCAAAATTTTGTAGATACTAAATATTGTAAAATAGATTCCTTGTTTTTACAGGATAAGGTCAGTACCTTTTTCCCCAGGAAAAGTCTAAATGCCTACATAAAATAACTTTTACTGCGCCCCACACAAGTGAAATCTTAAAGAAATTCTAAAGTGGGGCGCCTGGCTGACTTGGTCGGTAGAGCAAAGGACTTTCAGTTTTTGAGTCCTGAATCCAAGCCCCACACTGGGTATGGAGCCTGCTTAAAAAAAACAAACCAAACCAAACTCTAAATAGGTAGATATATTTATGTATTGGTGGTATACCCCTACTTAAATAAAACTTAACAAACCAAAATGAGAGCTTTAAAAGTTCATTTTTTCATTTGAAAAGTTTTATCATAGGGTAATTTTATTTATTTTTATTTTTTTCAAAGATTTTTTTATTCATTTGACACAGAGATAGAGCACAAGCACGCGGAGTGGCAGGCAGGGCGAGAGGGAGAAGCAGGCCCCGCTGAGTAGAGAATCTGATGCAGGCCTCAATCCCGGGACCTGGGATCATGACCTGAGCCAAAGGCAGATGCTTAACTGACTGAGTCACTCAGGTGCCCCAACAGGGTATTTTTTAATGAAATATTTTCAACATATTTAAATATCTGATTGACAAAGTTTAATTTAAATAATAAATGTGCTCCTTTGAAGTTGAACAAAAACATAAAAGCTAAACTTCCTTGACTACCTAATAGCATAAGTAAAACTTCAAACATACTAATAATACTAGTTACAAACAAAGAAAATCTT